TAAAACATTAATCCAATAGTAATCAAACAGTGCATCTATTTTAATAATAATAATAATAATAAATAATAATAAGTATTGTAAAACAATATATGCACCGTCCAAACTACTATTACTACTAGTACTATTATTATTATTATTATTATTATTATTATTTTATTCAATAGATACACTATACACACAATATGCACAAAATTAAAATTATTATTTTTATAATTATTATTTCAAAACAATAGGTGCACTGTTCAAAATTAATAAAATAAAAATGGTATTCAACAACAACAACAACTATAAAATATATTATTATGTTGTTTTATTTTAAAACAATATATACACTGTTTTAAATTAAATTTGGTGTGAACTTGAGAAACACTGCCTTAGTTTGACTTAAGAGTCTGAATACTTTGAAGCCACTTTATATTTGTCCTAGAAAGTTTTCATGAGAGTATGAGTGTTATTTCTGTGTTGCACATTCTGCCACAGTACTGTGTCATACTGCAGCGGGATTGATTTAGTTGTTGATGTCCTCAGCAGACACACATAGTAGCTGGATCAGAGTTGACAGTTTGGTTTACACAACCAGTGTGCCTCCAATATTGACAATCACTGTAAATGAGTGATCATCTATTGCTAATGTTTCTGTCACACAAACACACATTCTACAGCAGACTTTCCAGCCTGATTGCATGACCTCACACATTGACATGCATTTATTTCCTTCTCTCTCTCACACACACACACACACACACACACACACACACATGCAAGGATTGAGCCACTGGGACGGCTGGCGTTAGAGAAGGCACTACACGTTCCTCGGCTGTAGATCCGGGCAGGGACGTAGTACATCTCAGATCAAACCATTTCTAATCAAACCCACGAAAGTGTAGCTAATGCAATTTCACTAAGTCACTGGCTGGCTTGATTACATGGGGGCTGACATGAGTGGGCGGTGTGTGTGCATGCGCAGTCACACTCTTGTCACTCATCAAGACTGACTTGCACAATACGTGCACTTTCTTGTAAGTCGCTTTGGTTAGAGAGCATCTGCCAAGAATAGAAATGCAAATTTGATGTAAAGGCGCATACGCACCCTCCCTTCAATCCTAGATTAGCGGCATTCACAGGGGACCTGGCTATAACACCTCTCATACACACTCGCCACGCTTCAGCATAATAATAAACCGCCAACAGATGTGGAGGCACATAATAATAAACTGGACCAGCTAACTTGTCACCATTTGTTCACATTTGTTTGGATTTTGACTGGTAAAATGTTGGAATAACTTGTTAAACTGTTGTGAATGATTGTTTAGATTTAACATAGCAGATGTTGGCCGGTTGCTTTTCCAGTCAAAGTCTGTTGTGCTGACAGCATTTTAATGGACCTTCATTAATATGTACTTGAAGGATCTGAATAATGATTTTAGTCAAGCCAGGCTGGCAACGGATGACATTTTCTCCTCTGTCTTTGCCATTAAATGTAACTGCACAATCTGGATGTGTATCTCTTTGACCTGCTGACTATCACAGCTTTCATTTATGTGTTTTTAATTAGTGGTCAACTGTTTTTTTTTTTTTAATGGCTCATACTGATATCTAGAGTGCAAGGTGGTGTATGATACAATTTAATGATAGCAAATGAAAGACACAAAATTGTACAAATTAAATGAGCACTTGTTTTACACAATATTTACTCACATTTTATAAAAAATATTTAAAAACACTAAGTAGAAGACAATTTATTTCAGTTGATGCAATCTTTTATTTTTAGCAATATTTTAAATATATTTTCATGAAATATAATTTTCTTTTATTAGTAGTATAATTATTACTACTACCACTGCTGCTACTACTAATAAATGTATTATTAGTTTCTTATTTTCTTTATCTATTAATAATAATAGTTATTATTATTATTATTATTATGTACTACTACTATTACTACTACTAATTACTATTATTAAAATAATAGTATATTTTCTTATTTTTTATATATTTTTGTTGTAATGAAATAATAATAATATTAATTATTATTATTATTATTACTACTACTACTACTACTACTACTACTTCTACTAATAATACATTTCTTATTAGTTTCTTATTTTCTCTATCAATAATATTAATAATAATAGTTATTATTATTATTATTATTAAGCCTGTGTTATACTTTCCGCGTGCGCTAGTCCGCTAGTGTCTAGGCTATTATTATCTACTACTACTGCTACTACTAATTACTATAATTAATATAATATTAAGGTAATATAATATTTTCTTAATTTTCTGTTTGTTTATTTAGAATTTTTTGTTGTAATGAAATAATAATAAATATTATTATTATTAGTATTATTATTATCTGCTACTACTACTACTACTACTACTACTACTAATTACTGTTATAAATATAATAGTGTATTTTCTTAATTTTGTGAATTAATGAATTAATTAATTAATGTAATGAAATAATAATAATAATAATAATAATAATAATAATTATTATTATTATTATTATTGTTATTATTATTATTGCAACAAATACTATTTTTTATGTTTTTAAATTAAAATAATAGCTGGAAATTGTACAGCTATATTGTAACTTGTGACAGCTATACACTTCAAAGACATCTTGTGGGAAACTATGGCATATGCTGCATAACAAAACAATTTGTTTATAATTTCAAACCAGTTAATTCCCACAATTTTTGACAAAAGCTCTCACTATTTTCTGTTGATTTTTACCTATTTTCTCCCTTAAATTGTTGAATTTATGCCTTTTTATCATGCAACTGTTGTCGTAACACTTCTCTCTTCCTATCGCTTGTCTAGGTCAGAGTCAGCGTGTGCGGTGGCAGCTGTGATTTTTTGTTTTGATGATGTAATTGAGTCTTAATCGAATTAGCGGGAGAGAGATTGGATATATTGAAAGTAAAAGAGAAACAGGAAGCTAAGGAAGACGAAGATGAGTTCCCTTTCCAGAGCGCCAACCAGAAAGCTTTTAGAAAGGATAAAGAATCCTCTTGTCTTTTTAATGAGAAAAAGGGGTGGAAATGAAATAAGAGAGAGGGAGCTTTTCATCAGAACGTGCTCCATGAAGAATCTCAGGAAGGTGGAAATGACAAGAACAGCAGCGGGAGGTGCGTTCGAATGCTGGACAGGTGCACTGCAGGGTTTTTAGTGCAGTGAAAGGTGAACGCATTTCTCATTTGAAGCACGTCCTGTCTCCTAAAACAATGAACACAGGATGACTCTGATTCCAGCCCTGCGATTAAACCCAGTGGGTCTGAGATCACAACATTGGAGACAAATCATACAAGCACACTCTTTTGCTTCACTTGTAATTCCACGGCAGTCCAAATCCATCACACGCGTGCTTTATGTTTGTCTGGCATTGATATTTGTGTTCCTGTGCCTGGACTCATTTCCCATCCCCTGGGCAAGAAATCTCATGTAACAACTGTCTGATAAAAGCAATTAAAGTGATTCTCCACTGAGGACTTGTGTGTGTGTGATGCGCACATGAGTGTCTCAGATGTGTGTGTGTGTGTGTGTTTCCTGCATGGTGTTTGTCAGGATAGCAGTGCCCAGGCTTAGTGCTACGTAGTTACAGCAGTCTCTCCAGTGGCAATCTCAAAGGGCTGTGAAATTTTAATGAATAACATTGTCACAGTGCAAGAGAGATGCCAGTGGGCCGCCGCCGTGGCACTTCTATTCACCGACCCATGAGGCCACGCACACACCTTCTGTCCACCCGGGAATGTTCTTATTGATGGCAGACTTGATTTTCTTGCTGTCAATTATATTGATTACTTGTGGATGAGTGGAGCTAATAAGGATTGGAGCTCACTTCATTTTTTTGGGCCCTGCCTCATCATGAGAGAGTTACACAGCCATGATTTTCTTATTAACCTTGTTAGCGCAGGACTATGCACAGACACAGAGGGGCAAATGGGAGAGAGAGGAGGGGGAGTCTTGTATCTCTCTATCAGGCTTTTGTTTTGTTTTGCTTTGCTTTGCTTTGCTTTTGTTTTTGCTTTTGCTTTTGTTTTGTGCTTTGCTTTTTGTTTTGTTTTGTTTTGTGCTTTTGCTTTTTGTTTTGTTTTTTTGTGCTTTGATTGCTTTTTGTTTTGTTCTTTGCTTTTGCTTTTGTTTTGTGCTTTGCTTTTTGTTTTTGTTTTTAGATTTTTGTTTAGCTTTTTTCCTTTTTGTTTTGTAGTTTAGTTTTTTGTTCTTTGTTTTTTTTTCTTGGTTTTCTGTTTTTGTTTTGAGCTTTGCTTTTGCTTGTTGGCTTCTTTTTGTTTTCTTTTTGTTTTGTTTATTTTTTTGTTTGTTTTTTGGTGGTTTGCTTTTGCTTTTTGGCTTTTTTTCTTTTCTTTTTGTTTTGTTTATTTTTTGTTTGTTTGTTTTTTGCTTTGCTTTGCTTTCTGGCATTTAGCAGTCCACTATATGCTTTGGTTTTTGTTTAGTTTAGTTTTTTTGTTTGTTTTTTGGTGGTTTGCTTTTGCTTTTTGGCTTTTTTTCTTTTCTTTTTGTTTATTTTTTGTTTGTTTGTTTTTTGCTTTGCTTTGCTTTCTGGCATTTAGCAGTCCACTATTTTTGTGTAATGACTGCTAAAGTGTATTTTATGATCGTTCAAGGAAACAATAAGTCCATGGAATCCATAAGTGTGCTTCTGCTATGTTTGTCTTTTCATATGTGAAACATTTGTTGAATTTGTCTGTGCTGTTGTACTTTTTTTCATATGCTGTACAGATTCCTTTGACCATTGTTATGCGTTTCACTTTTTCTTTCAGCGTTTTGAGCCATAAGTGCTTTTTCAACTTTAATGAAGTTTCATTTCTGAAAATGTTTCTGAAAACACCTGCATTCTGTTCTGTTGCGTTTTGCAGCGGAATGCAAAAGTGCATCCCAAGTGAAGGGTCCATATCGGTTGAGTTTGTTTTTAAAAACATATTTTTGAAGAAAATCTGTTTAATTGTTTCTTCCTGTGTCTTTCTATCCAGGTGGAGCTGATGATAACCTGATTGAGGGAGGAGAGACTAAGTTCCTGTGTAAACCAGGAGCCAGAAACATTACGGTCATCTTTCAGCCATTGCTTAGGTAGGTCCTGTTCACAAATGCACGTGTCAGCCGAACATGCTTTATAAAGCTGCATTTCAGCAAACTGTTTAAACTCTCCCCTGCTTCATCTGTCTCCTCGGCCATAGCATGTGATCATTTTTTCCCCTTCCTTTCATATTTTTCATGGCTGGCAGCCATTACCACGTCATTACCGAGCCCCTGCCATTGATTTTGATTTGTTCTGACGGTATCAATTGGAGTGTTCCGTTTAGAACCGCTCCGCATTAAATTTTCCTTTCAATCTCCTAATCTATTGGATCATCGGTCCAGCCCACTAATGCCCTGTCATATTACCGCTCTAATACAGAGACATATCCCAAGCATGGTCGTCCTGCCCACAACGTGACTGGACTTCCCGATACTCCTATTGCTCGCAATTACATCTGAGCCGGGGTGCATTGATTTTCTGTTTTTTAATTTTTTTCCCAGACATGGTCACTGTCGCTCTCAGATGGCTTGATGTTATTTTGTCCTGGATGTAACACCCTTCTCAGACTCTTTTAAAAGACCTGTTGGTGTTAATGTACGCTGTGGATGTACAGCTTGCATTGTTATACCACATATGAATAGAAGGCAGATTTTATGTCAAATTATATTATTCTACACATTTTAACCTATGGCAAGTCAAGCAACACTATTATAGTAGCACCTTTAACCCTAGTATTTAACCCTATATTAATATTAAGCTTAAGAATGTAACTTGAACAAGAATGATGTCTTAAATCGTGTGGCTTTTTTAGGCGAAGTGTGTGAATATGTTGTAAAATGCATGATTTTCCCCTTGTTGATGATTTAAAAAAAACTTGACTTGTATTAAAGACATGTAAACCATATTTAGTGACTTCTTGATGGGTAGCAACTAGCAACTGCATAGAATTGTGGGCAGTGAGTTTTGCACTCATATTCTTGAGAAAAAATAGTTGCAAACTTAGCTTTAGCTTTGATCTTTATTGTTTATTTGAGCACGAAAGTGTCTTAATTTGTCAGTTTGTCGTAATGGTACCAAATCGCTGCTTGTTGTCTTCTCATCCTGACTGCTTATCAGGTCTGTCCTCATTATTTTATGTATCAATCACTTCAATAGTGATGAACTTCTGTTGAGTTTACCAAACTTTCCTAGCAACAAGTGCATAATATCCCCATTTAGTACATTACAAACTTTCATTTCATGATATAAAAGCATCATCCCTGTTGCTAACAGTCATTTGGGGAAAATACATCTTTTGGCCTGCTGTGATTCTGGCTGGATTGCGAACACTGCAGATATTTTACAGTACGCCCACTATGAAGAGGAGGCAACTGCTGCACACTGATGTATTCTGGCCGTGTTCATTAATCTAAATGAGCTGCTCTCAGTGTTGATGTGAGCAGTGCGACAGCAGCAGGGGATGGGCAGAGGGCGTGTCAGACAGCTGTCCGTCTGAGATGAATGGCAGGCGGATCATTGCTCCGACAGTATGGACAGCTCATCTGGTCCCTGCTGGGGTGACGGACCGAACAAATGAATGCATGAATAAACGAGTGACTGCTCTCCACCTTTTGCCTGCCGCCACATAATGGCTGCTATCAGTCATAGTCCTGTGCGAGGAGCCTGATGTGTGGCCGCCCGTCCTTGGCTGCGTTCAGGGGGCTTAATGCTTTGCTGCACTGATACACGTTTAAACCTGAGGACTGTAATTTCTGGAGAAAGATTTCCTTCTAGCTGTTTTTGCTTTTGGGATGTATTTTTTTGTATGTCTGTATATCGCATGTGATTAATCACTTATTGTCAGAATAATATTTTTAGCTTTTAATATATTTTAGTCAAAGTTATTTAATTATTTAATTTCAGCAAAATTATATTTCATTTGGTTTACTCTAACTGAAATGACGTTTGTTTGATGGAATTTAACATTTTTGTTTACAATATGTAATATGAGGACTAAAACAGGAAAACAGACTTGACTTTCAAGTTATTTATGATTCTTGAAAAGTGAAAACATACTATCATGTATATCTTACACTCTGAAACTAAAATTAAAACCATAACATTTTTTTTACTTGAAATAAAAGAAATGTCAACTGAAATAATTTACATGTTGTCAAAGTAGCATTTCTCCTTTTAATTTAGCATGTACTACACAAAAAATTACTAAAACTTTAACTAAAATGAAATTGGAAAATAAAAACTGATTCAAAATATTAGTAAAAACTATAAGAGTGGTGCTAAAAAACACACTATTATAAGAATAAACGTTTGTAAAATGTGTAAAAATAGGTTACACTTTATTTTAAGGTGTCCTTGTTACAGTGTAATTATACATTTAAGTACTGAGTAATATTAATTAACTACATGTGCTTACTATATAATTAGGGTTACTTGCATGTAATTATGCATAATTTATTGTTATTGTAATAGTAAGTACATGTAACATGAATAACAAGGACAACTTAAAATAAAGTGTTACCTAAAAATATATTTGTAAGCATATTTTACACACCAAACATTTTAAACTTTTTTATAAATTTTTGTGTAAACATATATTATAAATATTTTTTATACATGATTTCTTCAGTAGTATTTAAAAGAGCAAACTTTTTTAAATACATTTTTTAAAAATGTGTGTGAACATTATAAATATATATTATAAACATTAAGCATATTTTTAGCATATATTTATCATTATATATTTATGATATTTTTTGATATAGTTTTATAAAGTAATGATGAGTCATTTTTGGTGCGTATTTGTTGTTATTGACAGTCATAAACAACTTTGTATTTTCTGTGTCACTGTGTCAAAGTCAGCAGAAAGAGAAATATGTCAAATAAAATAAATAAAATAATTGTAAAATCATATAAGAAATATATGCAATTAATATGTTGCTTGATTGATTTTGTCAAAATGCACAGTTGCTTTTAAATATACAGTGGGTACGGAAAGTATTCAGACCCCCTTAAATTTTTCACTCTTTGTTATATTGAAAAGGTAGTTTTTGTTTTTGTAGTTACAGGGGCTAACTGGGCCATGCTAACCAGCCAATCCTCGACCCCTTTATTAAACCCTACGCACCGATCGAACTGTACCTGTGCGGACTGAAGCAGGACTTTGTTTTATCAGTGACCGAGAAGAACCTAAACTTACGCCGAGATCAATACAGGCTCTTAATGTTACTGCCAATCAATTCACCATGCAATTTGTGATCAGTAGTCTCTGTGGAAGAGGCTGACGTTGAAGATCTCAGAGGTGTGTACTTGATGCTTTTTTGATTGATGCTGGGCAGGAGCAGTCCGAGGAGATCGATAATCCCGTTGAGGAGCTTCACACGTCTCCAGACCCGCTCACTGTACATTAATATATGGGCTCCGCTTGCACTGTACAGCGCAAAGTGCGAAAACACTTTGCCGAGTATCAGATCTCTCCTGATAGATCAATACAGTTGCTCCATAAAGAGCGCTTGTGTACGTGTACGTGTCTGTGTGTGTTTGTGTACGTTTCCATTGCTTTCAACTACTTGAATCAGTTTGGAAGTACTCGCAGTGTTTTATGTTAGTCTGTTAGCTGGTGTGTTTTTGAGTGACTGGTTTGTGGGTTTTTATGTTTATGTGTGTGTTTGGCTACGCATGTGAATTGGAGACATGCTCACTACAGCGAGAGGGGAGACGGAGCAGGTAGGAGGTAATTTAGTTTGACTTGTGGGGCCTCACACTGACATTTGAGTGGTATTTAAACCCTTCTGCCCTGACTGAGGTTGGCATTTTGAAAAGGGGGCACTCTGCGGCTTGCCATAATCTCTCCCCTTGTATGCATCCACGCTCTGAGGTGATTAGGCCTGGCAGGGCCCGGAGTCTGTGAGATCACACCTCGGCCTGAGAGCAGATGTTAGGGCCGCCGGCCTCCCGGGCTGGGGTGGGCGGAAGGAGCGGCGATGGGTTATTGGTAGTTGAAAGTGACATTTGAGAAGTTGAGAAAAACATTGATTGCTAGTTTGATGTGTGTTTGTGTGTCAACATGAATTGGCATTTAATACTAATTTTATTTTGATATTGTGCGAATATTCATGAATTTACAGTTCATATCTATCATTTAAGTTTAAAGTATACACTACTGTTCAAAAGTTTAAATGTTTTTGAAAGAAGTCTCTTATGCTCACCAAGGCTTCATTTAATCAAAATACAGTAAAAACACAAATAATATTGTGAAATATTTTTACAATTTAAAGTAACTGATTTATATTTTAATATATTTTAAATTGTAATTTAATAATTTGATAGAAAGGCTACATTTTTAGGTGCCATTACTCCAGTCTTCAGTGTCACATGATCCTTCAGATATAATAATATGCTGATTTGGTGCGCAAGAAACATTTCTTATTGTTATCAATGTTGAAAACAATTGTGATGCTTAATATTTTAGTGTTTTTTTATTCTCTGATGAATATAAAGTACAAAATAACAATTTATTTGAAATAGAAATATTTTGTAATGATGTAAACGTCTTTACTGTTACTTTTGCACCCTTTACTGTCACACTAAATGGATCTTTGCTAAATAAAGGTGTAAAAAGAATTTTTACCGAACACAAACATTATTATTGTTATGAATCATTATTAAGGGAATAGTTCACCCAAAAATGAAAATTGTCATTATTTACTCACCCTCATGTCTTTCCAAACCTGTATGAGTTTCTTTCTTATGTTTAACATATATATTTTGATACATAGATATTTTGAAGAATGCTAGTAATCAAACCGTTGATGGTCCCTATTGATTTCCATAGTATTTTTTCCCTACTATGGAAGTCAAAGGGGACCAGCAACTGTTTGGTTCTTAAATTATTCAAAATATCTTCTTTTGTGTTCAACATAAGAAATAAACTTATACAGGTTTGGAACTTTTGGAACATGAGGGTGAAGTTTTTATTTTTGGTTGAACTATTCCTTTAAATTATTATTATAATTATTATTACTTTTTTGAGGAAATCTTCACACAAACTATA